TGACACACCCAATGTATTCGCGTGGTTTGCTGTTTTACCAGTTTTCACCCGTATCGTTCTTACGGTGGAGTGTTTCAGCGTTTCAGGCGAAAAGAAAGTGTAGGTATCGACCCAGTGTTCAGAGAGGAACAACATCGTTCTGCGCCTTTCCTGTCCTCATTGTTACTGCTACCATAAAGTAAAACTTTAACTTTAAACCAAGTAGTTCAGGCTCGCACGACTCGGGAGGTACCCCTGAGCTCGATCCAAAACTTCCAGTAGCAGATGATTTGCCGGATTTCATTCGAAGAATGGGCGCTTCCCCGTTCGTCAAAGCTGGAGTTAAAAGATGGGGTGTCACCCAAAAGTGAGTCATCCAGTCGTTTTGTTAATCATAAATTATTTGTATAAATTTTTACATATTGTTGCTATCGTCACGAGCACTCCATGTCCCGGGTATGGAGGGGCGTGGCTGCGTATCTCATTCGAACATGGCGAAGGATGCGTTTTTTTGTGAGATACTTCCATTTAAAACAATTACTATCTTGTCTTGCGCTAGACAAAGACATAATCACTATTGTCCCGAAAAGAAAATATACTATCAAAAGCGCATCCGCCCCGTGTTCAGATGAAATAGATGTCATGCTCTCTCCACCTCCGGGATATGCACGGTAACCGTTGAGCTACGGTGCCACACTTAGCTTGAAATTTGTATTGAGTGAGAGCTTCTGCGGGTTCATTCCCCCGCCTAAAAACCTCCATCTCTTTGTAAAAGTCCTTAATAGAGCAGCACTTATGAAAGAATGGATTCTTAATCATCGGAAAAAGACACACCAGCTTCCATACATCTCGTTTTAAACGACTACTGCCACCTACCACCCTTTCCAAATTGGTAAATGTTTGAAATTGATTTACTATATCTTTGGAGAATAGTTAAGCGAACTTTGCAGTTATTCAATCCGTAAACAGCTCGAGCATGGAGTTCGCTATCTCGATCTACGTGTTGCTTATCCTCCACCAAAAGTGCGAGCTTCTGAAAGGGTGGGTAGTTTTGAAATCCCCGATTTCATTTCTGTTTTCCCTAGAAAAAAATCTCATCGTCATCGTTTGCTTCCTGAAAAGAAGCGGTACTTACAACGCGTTCCAGTGCCATCCAACTTGAATTTAACTCAGGGGTTTAATGCTTACGTGTTTGGCCTAGAAAATTGTGGGTTGGGAAATCTTTTCTAGCAGTAGGTTCTCTCTGGAAGTGCTGAATTTTGTGCGCTCATTCGTGTGTGCGCATTCATGCTCCACTCTCAAGGGATTAAACGCTCTATCGGGTCCGCTGCTAGACCTTCACGACTACTATTTGTGAAGTCTCTCCAATTTCTTGTTGTTTTCTTTGTTTTATTCTTATCCTTAGAATCTTGCAGTGTGTGAATATTACTACCTAAATGCTTAATTGACGAGGATCCTCGAAGGGGTCTACCGATCTCCGAATAGCACAGCTGAATTACACATAGCTCGAACTATGAGCCCAATCTTAAATTATCACCGTCACTGTGGCTGTAACTATGCTAGGTGCAGGTGGCAGATGCCGGATAGGAAAGAAGTGGCACATTTCTTCATTGATCTCGGTTTTCAAGCATTCCTTGAATTGAAATTGAAATTCCAGGATTTTCGGCTAGTCCATGGGCTGTTTGGAATGACTTTACGGCATTGTCTAACACAAGTCGCAGACTTTTTAAAAGAAAATAAAAAAGAGGTAAGTGTGTTTTCAGGTTGAGCTAATAGAAAGCAGGAGGAACGCGGTGAAAAGCACAAAATAGATTTAGTAGCCGATGAACCGCAGCTACCAAGACGTTGTGGGATCCCCTACCCCTTTCTGGCTCGGGTCGCGTAGCTGGAGCGTATATGCTAAGGTGGTGAAACGCTACGGGAATATTTGCCAAAAGCAATGTAACACAGCAGTTAAAATGACTTCAAAACTGGAGAGCTGAAACAAGTGTGTTTAATGCGATAGCAACCGTTCTTCGGGCCGCAAACTCTTACTTGTCCTGCGTGGGAAATCGGTTCTTAATATACTGCTTCTCTCAGATTGAGGACGGGCTAATCTACAATGCGATTCAGCCTCCACTTATTAGCAAATGTGTTAGTAGCGAAGAAGATTGCAAGATCCTACGTGGAAGCTGAGGCAGAGATGGTGTAGTGAAAAGGCACGCTTACCACCCGAGCGGTCCGAGAGTCAGATGCCAGATCGACGGTAAATTGGTACCAGACTTGTCAGGGAGGTAAGGCTGCGCTCATACCTTGTGGCAGCGTCCACCAGCGTTCCGAGTGTCCGGCAGCGTCAGCGACTAGGGAAAGTGTAGATATCGATCTAGCGTCTGCCTGCGTCTACCACTGACCAGCAGCATGAGGCCGTGGAGAGTAAGGGGCGATAGGAGGGTAGCAGACACCTGCTAGATTGTGGAGAGACAGGACAGGGGGAAGGGGGGGGGTAGCAGACTGCTGGTCGCTGGTGGACCCTGGTAGACGCTAGATCGATATTTATAGTTTCCTAGTCGCTGACACTGCCGGAACGTGGACGCTATTGGTCGCTGGAGGACACTAGGATTTTTCGCCGCATCACAGAAAGAGTTGATCAACGGGAAGAAGCCTTTCTTATCTTCAAGTTGGAGCTGTTTATTTGGTATACGGTAACGAATTGATAGCTTCCATTCCAACTTTTCATCATCCGCTCGTCTTACCTCACCTTAGTTGCGGCTAAACGTGGGCATAATGCCTGTTTATATAGGATTTTGATATGTTCAGAGCGTTATTTTCAGGTTGTGCTACTTGATGTTAATCACGTGTACGACGTTGATGAGACGAGGTTTACTACTTTAGCAAAGGAAATAGTATCAATATTAGGAGAGTCTTTGTTGTGTCCATTCATAGGAGACTTCGGTACGATAACCCTAAACTATATGTGGACATATGGTTACAGGTAAGACATTCCGAGCATCACTTATTCATTATTTTTTGAAGTCGAGTACTTCTTTTTTTTATTTTCTATAGCTCTGTGGGCTGAAGGAGTTGGAGGGGGAAAGAGGAGTGGCACACGATGCCACGACCGAAACATGCTTTTTTTCCGCTCGCCTGTGCGCGGTTCTACAGATTGGTTCTTCCTCTCCAACCGGCTTAACCTTATACAGCACAAACAAACCGTTGGCTCGGACTAGCCTTGCTTATGCTCCCCCCCCCCAACTCCTCGAGCTCTTAGTACGGGTCCCAATTAGAGTTTTCCAGTTCTTCCTCCTCAGCTTTTAATATTATATTTCACCTACAATGATGCTGCCTTCTGTTTTCAGGGTGATTGTTTTTTCTCCGTTCAAAGGAAGAACTTTGATCTCTACTTCATCCTCTGGGAATGCTACAATTTTGCTTTGGCCGGCCTTTACAATACGATCACCTTGGCCGAATACTTCTGATATGAATGTTCTCATCAAAGCTCTCGATCAGGGTTTGGAGTCACGACCGGAGAAATCACCGCAGTTTTTCGTGTCTCAAGGTGTTCTTACACCACAGTACTGGGATGTGGTAAGTTGCTGACGTTACTATTGCGACTTTTTTTTCAATTAGCTGCCGAAAACGTGTAGGAAAAACAAAAATGCATGTGATAGTTGACTTACCCGACCACAAAAAAATGTAGAGCCACTCACCAATAAAGCCCTGAATCAGATCAGATTTCTAAGCAAGGAGGGATGACTCGTTATGATTTCGGGCGGGAGGCTTAGACAAGCGGTGGAAAGCGAACGGGCAACAGACGGCGATATGAAACGGAGCCACTCGCGCTTAAAAGAACCCATCTGTTGATGAATAGCTTTGCGTCTGAGCGCGTCTTTCCTGACTTCTTTCTCACTTGAAACCGGCGGATGGTTGTGCACTGTAAACCACGCTGTCTATCCCTATCCGGGGCTTTGGCTCTATGTGATCGCGGAGTGTGAATATAAGCGGAATCTTGTGTTGATGGGGTGCGTATCGCGTCCGGTTACACACTTTTATAGCCATTCAGCCCTTTTAAAGGGGATGGGGCATGCTCTGATCGGAGCACCGTGCTGTAATAACGTTTTCAAGGCTTTCCGCTTTGAAGCAATCCATAGCTCTTCGTAGAAGTTTTCAGACCTTCCTTGGGCGGTATGTAAGAAACAGACTATGCCTTTAACTTGTATTCTGCATCCTTGAATCGAAATCGTTACCAAGACCCATTTGACTGTGAACTCGCTTAGAAATCCCTAGTCATCGCTTCTGAGAAGTTTTGACTATTGAATTTGCAGGTCAGTAACTGGTTTTCAACTCTGAAAGAGTTCTCGAAAAACACCACACCGCGAGTATTTCGATGGATCAACGAGCTTTCGGAAGAAAAGAAAAGAAAAATCAATATTGTCATTCTAAATTTTGTTGAATATGACACATCTCGCTTCATAATATCCCTAAACAAAATCTCAGCCCTGAAATCCACATTAGTGACTTTGAAGGCTGAAGTCCCAGCCAACCCTGCTGATGTTTGGCCAAGAGCGGGGCTAACGCCTGAGGTAGCAAAGGTATATGCTGAGCCGTCTAATGTAAGTGAGCAGTCGAAGAGCCGTCAACAGACGTTTGAGGCGACTCAGCCGCCCGCATTTCAGAGCGCTCGAGAAACGGCTGAACCAGCTGACCCTGTTGGTTTTCAGTCCAAAACGTCAACATTGTCCCAGGTAGCAAAAGTCACCTCTGAGGCATCTGAGGTAGACGGCAGGTCAGAGAACCGTCCAGAACCACATGAGCCGACTCAACCCTCTGCGCTGCACAGGGCTCAAGAAATTTTCAAGGCGACTAGCTCTGAAGATATCCAGTCAGAAGTACCGAATTCGGCTGGGGTAGGAAAGGTCTTCCCAGGAGAGCCCGTACAGTGAGTGGCGCGCTCTAGCCGGTATACTAACAATGCTCTTTTGCCACTAATAGCCCTATCCCACAAGGATGGAAATCATAGCCGGGGTGTGAGTCGATCCGGGATCTGGTGAACCTTTTGCCCATTTTTCTGTTTTCAGTCATCTTAGCTTTAAACGCCTACCAGGCTCATAGCTCCTTAAAAACCTGAGACTTAGTATTAGCTGTAACATGAACCGTTCATTCCAAAGAGTAGCTCCTGTAAATTTGGCACTTAACATTGAATTTGATCTGAAAATTTCAACTGTGAAATCTGCTTTGATCTAGGCTTTACTTTGTACACCTTTGTTCTCACTTTGTACCATAGATGTGATGTTTCTCAACAGTGAAAGAGTGTAAATAAATTGTAGAGTATACTATCGAAAAGTAAGCCCAGTGGTAACCACTTCCAAGATGCGCCATGCGTTTTACGATCATCAGTATCGCAGAGGTGTTCCAGATCGAATTCAGCTAATACACTGAACTACAGGAGGGGAGAATATGGAGTCCAGCGTATCCTTGCCTTTGCACGTGGAACAGGAAAGCTGGCATAACAGGATTATGCACCTGTCGAAACTGAAGTCCCCGATTCCGCATTAGCTAGGTGGGCGGAGAGGTTCAGTGACTGAGGCTTCATTGGCGCGAGCATTTTCACCGTGGAACGAGGAATACAGAACTGTATAGCGTTCACTAAAAACAAATGTCAAACGTTGTCAAAGTGCTTCCATGAAAAAGGACAAAGTTTGAATACAGTGGATACACTGCTTGGTTGCCACCTTTGAGGTTGCGTTCATACGTCGCGGTTCAAACCATTCAGTCGCGAAGTATGAACCCCTACTGACTGACCGCGCTTCTACGATTACGACTTACCACGCTCGAATGTTGATCGTTCCGCTGCTACATTTGTTGGTTTAGTCACAATTTCGAGCTTGGAAGCGGTCCAACGAATAACGGTGGAGCGCTATCAGTCGCGGTAGAGCGAGTCTTTTGGCTCTGCCCATTACACCAGCGTAGACTTCGCTTTCGAAGGAAGTGCACTATGAAGAAAGTCACTTTCACATGCTATCTGCCATAATGTCGTAACATCATTCTACCGAATTTTCGGGAAATTTATCTCCAGACAGGGAGAGAGCAGCGGGGGAAATGCGAAATCGGAAAAATTCAAACACGACTCTTCCACGGTCGCACAAGGATGATGAAAGGGGAACTCGTTGCTGCTCTTATAACTGTGAAATGGTATCTCACTGATAAAGGCAGTCAACAGTTGTCTTTGTAGGATTCCTCGCTTTCTGTCCTGGACTACTTTTTGGCCTTTTTGAGTAAGCCTTTTTCAGTGCTCTCTTCATTCAAGAAAAGTGCATCTGAAAGAATTAGAAAGGTAACAAGAACGCAGACCTCTGTACATTCCTTTCCCTTTCTCTCACGATAGCTCAAGGTCGGCCTCGCGCTCAGATCACCGGAATTACCAATAAATTTACCATGTCCGACAAGTGCGCAGTCTCGGGCTAGTACAGAATTTGTCCTTGACCGTAGAAATATCGGTATGGTGAAAATTAGATAGTTTCAGTTCATTTCGCGTAGAGGAACGGAATATCAGAGACACAAAAGAGAAATGCTCGTTGTGATCAACAGTTCAAGAGTGCGCCATGAACACGGCTTCGGTTTTGTGTAGTAGTGACATTTGAAGGCATAAGGTTCAATGCAAGAGCTAAATGCGCAGCAGGTGTTTAATTCTTTTTTCATACCCTTGAGTTTTGCGGAATCACATATATCAGCAAGAACTGAGGGGCTAACTTGGAAGGCATACTGAAGGGCTGACCTGAAGCAGTTGCGAAGAGTTTGAGGGGGCAGTGAGTACAAGAAGAGTTTTATGTCCTCGGTTTGAGCTGCGATTTGGTGCGTCCTTGGAAGCAGGGTCAAGCATCCTTTGGAAACTTCTCAGAAGGTGTCGTATTTGGCTAGCAGGAGGGGGTCTATTTTCAGGAGTCAGTTGTTAGCGGAGCTGTGACAACACGGGTGCAGAATAGGGTGTGATTTCCACCTGGAACTGCTACCTTCCTACCTTCGTTGACGCTGGCGTTCGCAGAGTTGAATAGGATTACAAATCCGAGTGGAGGTTGACGTGGCGCTTCCCCTGCCTGATTTACCCATCCCTCAGCGCGTCAACTCACGCTACTCTGGGTCACCTACCCTGCATAACTAGTGGAAGAATACCACTCGGTGAAGATCTTGAGGTACATTTGGGAACTATTACAGCGAATGATCGCCTTCCCAAAAGATCGTTATCGACATTTACGGCCGGGTGCTAGAAAGATACCGACGATGGTAACCAGTTCTAGCGACGTGTTTTCGTCCTCTTGTCCTCCTCCTTGTCCCTCTTTGTTACGCAAGCATGAATGATGTTGTTAATTTGTCTCCTTTGCGCAGTAATGCGCTGTTCTGCAAGGAGAGCGTTTTCCTTGTCCGTCAGTTTCACTTTCCACTTCCACATCTCGTCTCGCTGAGACCTGTAGGTTCTTGTCAAGAGGAAACAAAGCTTGGGCGATGTTCGGCGACGGGGGGGGGGCATTTTGCACTTTCACTGCTTCACTAGTTCCGGTTTACAAGTCTCACTCTGGTGAAACCTGTGAACTCTTGTGAAGCTGGAGCAAGCTCGTCGAGCCACCATGGTAAAACCTGTCAACTCAAGAAAAGGCTCTCTAGATGGGTCGACACGTCGATGGGAAGTAGAAACGCTCTCCCCGACCCCGGACTGGCCCCAAAACTTGTCCTATTGCATAGGTTTGCAAGAGGTTACAGGTCTTCACTGGAGACATCGACAATGCTCTACGGGAACAAGCTAAATGTCCCCACAAAGCCGAACGACCTGAAAATTAGGATTAGAACTACTGAAGGACAGTGGTTACGCAATAGATCTGTCTCAATAAAAGAACAAGAAGGTATTTGTACTCATTCTTCCATAATGTGAATATGAGTGGCGAATTCACCGTCGGACTTCCTCATAGGACTTGTTTTCCAGCTTTTGGGGGAATTTCTTCCTTTTTATCTTTTCCTCTCTTTCTCTTTCATTGTCCCTCTGAGCTCAGCGCGCAAGAGCTGAACTATGGGCAAAGTAGTTGCTTCTCGTCAAGACTCGAATCTGGGCTCAGATCTCAGGCTAGTACCATGTCGCGTTCGGCGCTTTCAGCTTAATATGTCGTCATAGCAACATACCCTCGCGATAACGTAACAGATGTGTCTGTTAACTTTAATGTCTATCTCTTTCGACGAAAAGCAATTTGTCTGCGGCGACCACATTACGGATCGGCTAAGCTAGGGCGAGAACTGGATCGAATACGGATTCGGACGCTCCAAAACATAATTGGCACGAAAGCTTCGTACCGAGGCCGGTCTCAGAAGCTTGAAGATCAGTGAGCTTGTTGCAGAG